AGGAGGAAATAACCTAGCATATATAGTTAGGAAGATATATATATTTTTGACTATTTAAAAAAAATTAACATTTTATTAACATTTTACAATGTGGCGCACGTTCGTGCTGTGATAGGGTGAAATTTCCCGAAAAAGAGAGTGGACCGTGCGATGAAACCTGAATAGCCAGCGGAAATAAAGCGCCTCACGCTAAATCACCGAAGGCAATTCACGAGCTACGATAATCGCCCTTTGTCCGTTTTATCGCGGCGCTCTTTATCGCGCGGTGATCGATTCGCTGCGGCGTGCAATTTCCCGCTTTCGCGCGGGCGCGTAACGCGAAACGCGAACGCTCTCGCGTCGCGGTAGATACGTGGTGGGCTTTAACGTAACGTTTATACGCCGGCGATATGTTATTTACCGGTGCTTTTACCGTGAATCGTTGACGTCTTACGATCGGTAATAAAACGAGCGATAAACTTAGCGAGCGAGGTGACAGGATGCGCGCGAGCGAACGTGAACGGGCACAATCGAAAATGGAAGTCAAACAAGCGGGAGGGGGATCGTCTTTTACGCTCCCCGGAGGCGCACTCTGAAACACGCACGATGATGTATCATGCATGACAGTTATGATGCTCTCACTTTACGCCATTGTCGACTCGCAAGCACACGCGAGTCTGCAAATCGTGATTTCATTTTGATATTCGGTTATCGCAAAATTGTATCACAAAGCAAACCACTCGTAAGATTTCTCGTTCAATTTTAAGTTTGAAACAAATTACAAAGATACTCGAGACTAGAAGAAAATTATCGTAATTGTGTTGTAAAAGTGTATTATATCGATACAATTGACATAGAAAATTTTTTAAACTTCTAAAAAAAATCTAAAATTTTTTCGAAAGAAATACATCCATTATAACTTTTGAAAGAAATTCAAAAGAAGGTACTTTCTACAATCTTTTGTTGGGCGACTTTAAAGAGTTCAATATCCCGTATCTGCGTCTTTTAGTATTTATTGGACTGCAAATAGCTTTGTATTATCGATAATATCGGTTGCAGCGCGAATATCGAATATGAGGATAACTAGTTTACGATACGGGACAACCATAGTGCTGCGCTCGTATCATGAAACATGCGGGATATTTGCGCGACTCGGTTGCGGTGGAAAGTAAGTTCGACCCGGCGGACATTGATTCCGTATACTGCAGCAAGAATATTGTACGTTCAAGCGTAAAGTAGAGAACAATGTTTTATTCATACTGTAGAGCAAACATTTGTTATACCTTTAGAAAAGGCGGAAAAATGGATACGCGAAACAAGATCGTTATTTGTCGCAATTTATTGTATTAAATTTCGACGTTTATAAATATCATTATAAGATATTCTAATTTCTAATTTATTAAAATTCTTTCTTTAAGGAAAATTAAATTTAAATTATTTTTCTATTATGTATACCCATTTATTTTTATTTATGAGATATAAATCGTTGAGCGTCTCTCCTCAATTTATTTATAGAAAAACATTAACGCTTCGATACTTTTGGTTCAGATAAATGAACTCCCACATTTTAAAGGGAGCAACGCTGTGTGTTTCCGCTATTTTCAATATCCCTTTTGTAATATCCTATAAATATTTAGACCGTTAAAGCTCATTGCACGACATAATACCTGGCGGTAGACGCCTATGAGCGAGCTGGCTCGAAGCTCGCTTCTCTAACGAGCGCGTCTACGAGCTGGAAACCGGGGTAACTCGCGCGAGTGAAAGCTAATGATTCGTTCCGAAGGAGAAAGTCGGAACTCTCGAACGAACGAGCGAGCAATCGGTGACACTCGCGCGGGCTGCTGTCAGCCAGTCGACTCGTTTGACTTTAAAGAAATCGTGTCGCATGAATCACAGCCGCTGATGGGAATGGAAATAATTCACACGATTGTGGAAGTTGTCTCGAAATCATGATATATATAGGCCGGATCTTATATTTAAGACCGTCTTAAGTACAGTCCTAAGATATTATAAACTAAATTGAGTGCAGTATTATCATCCTAATACATTATTTAAGACAATCTTGAAATAAGAACCGAACTATGAATACCACAGAGCGTCCGCGCGACGCCGTATTAACGCTAAAATTAATAATGAAAGAATAATTATGAACATTACGGCAGAGCCAGATATCAGAATGTGCGCGTGCAATCCGCGCGAGATATGCGAGAGCGGATTATATGTTAATTTCGCGGTTTCCCATGGTATTTGCAGCGCGCGTTGATTTTAATGTGCCCCGCGCCGCGACGTGTATCATTTTTGGACGCGTGTTATACAAATGATTCGCCGTTCGTGAAATTTATTTATGTCTGGTCGGAAAACCCAACTACAAACTTCGCGCGGGCGCCGTTATTTGCTTTCAATGAGCCGAGCGTTATTATGTTTCGCTTAGTAATCAAATCCGGTGATTTCGGTGTATGAACGTGACAGCGCTTTTGGTCGCGAACGTAACGTAATTTCCGCGATTTTCAGTTCGATTAATGGAAGCGGGCACGTAGCCAGTCCAATATTCGCGCGCTCCGCTCCGCCCTCGATTAATTCTTTTTCGATGTCAAACACGAAATTATCGTTAACATTCCCGACGCGAGACCGTTTTAATTTATGCACACAGCATTTATTTTTGCAATAATTTCTCACGTTTTGTCGCTGCAAACTTAAATAGAACCATTCGAAGCGACGCTATCGTGTGGTTTTTATCACGAAAAACATAATATATCTATATCATCAATAATTCAATTTAGTATATCATTTTTCATGATTTGTAATATAAAGATATATAATATAATCTTTTATTTGTGTCTCGTAATTTAATTCAAATTTATTATATCGAATTTATATATATTTCGTTTTATATTTATTTCCTATAATTTTATTTTTATCGATCTTTTTTTTTAATCAATGTTACATGAATTTCGCGCTTCAGATCTCGTGGACGCGGCACAATTTTTACGATTTCTCTTTAGCGTAATGGAAGCATAACGATCTCGACGATATATTTGCACGGTCGCTCGGCGTGGATCGACTTTTTCCTTCGGTGGCTAACGCGATATTATCGCTAAATAGCGGGAGACGTCGTTGCCGGTGGCGACGCGAGATCGCTTACTATATTTTCTCCGGAAGGTTTTAAGCGAGTCGCCGGGTACCCGCGGATCGATCGTTGGATAAACCCAGCCGATAGACACAAAGCATTGTGGGTAGTACGATGCAGCGGCATGCGAGAGCGCAGCACTCACTCGCATTCACCAATACCTTCTCCGGGCAAACAAAACGACGAACAAATGCTCGATACCATACTGATCCGGAGCTGCAGGGACGGATCGCGCGTTTTCGCTTTTCCCATTTTAACACTTTGACACTCGTGTACAGATCACCCTTGCATTTTTTCGGTAACTGCTTCCGGATGTAATGATCTCACTTTCCGCTCAGTTTGCGTTATGCAAAATAAACGACGAATACAAATGTAAATTATGCGGGAATGAAGTCATCGTTTATGCGTAAACGCTATATTTTCCGAGGAAATGTAGATGTTTTATTTCTATACGTATGACGTGGAAATTAAAGTGTTAATAACTTTAATTTCCACGTCATTTCTCACGTTTGCACATTTTAGGGGCCCATATGATCGCCAATTTGGTCATTTTGCATTTTCGTAATTTAGTGATAAATAATCCGCGCAGGCAACCGGAATTTTCAAGTATCCGCAGTTTCACGTTTCAGTTTAATGGCACGTGATTGGCTTTTATTACGTTCACGTTGAGTGTAAAAGTTGCGTTAAATGTATTTTTATCTTTATTTTAACGGGAAAGCTGTCACTTAACCATTTAGAATTTTAAAATTGGATAGAAGATAATATACATGTCTTAGTGACGTTATATTTAGATTTTTGACGATGTGCAGCGAGCTTTTTATGATCCGACGAAAGAATCTTTGAGAAGATACGCCGATGAAATTCGTGGAAAGGAAAAGCGTAGATATTTGTAGCGAATCCGTTCCTGCGGTAGAGTCCACTTCGTGCCGGTGTCCGGAGTATACGGTGCCGCTTCCTCTCTTTCGTCGTTCTATTCCAGAGCTCGTTATTGAATTTGTGCGTCGAGCGAGCGAACCGACGATATCGCCTTTCAATATCGCTTCATTTGGCTCACGTTCATTCGATTTGCGGGAATATCTCTGACTGCCTGCTGCCGACCGGCGGCCGCCTACACCACTCTGACGACGAGCGACAGTCAGCCCCTTACCGAGCTCACCTCTCAGACTAAAGCTTTTTAAATATTCTATTCGGAATCGAGCGGAAATTAATCGGATCTGAGGGCGGAACCTCCTGGCGAAGGCATTAGCGCAGAGAGCACACAGATTCGATGGTACTTTGAGTTGTTTTAGTTAAGAACGAGCGAAATCTTCTACTGAAAACATCGACGACGTTTTAGACTTTAGACATTTAGATACAAAGAGAATGTAAATAGATCAAGAAAGTAATAAAAGAAAAGAATTTTCTGAAACTCGTTAAATATGTGCAAAGTGAAAAAATATGATTAAATTTTAATCATATTTTTTCATCACCACGATTATTATTTCTTCAATATTTTTATCATATTACTTTGATATTTTTCCTCTTTTAAAAAATTCGTTTAAAAAAGTTAAAACTGTTAGACTCTACTCTAATAATTTTTTAATAATATTTTTTATTCCAATTTGCTGATATATTTTAACTTTATTTTTGGTTATTTCTTATTAATCATTTAAGAAAAGAAAAGGAGAAGGACGTAATTCCCCGTAATCATAATAAATTCTCTCCGCGTCTGTTTAATATAGCAAAGACAGCAATAATAATGGAAATAATTTATAATAGTGGATATTGTATATGTATACGGACGGGGCACGATATGACGATGCGGAATGACACGAAATGAATAAACGTGTCGCAGCGAGAACATGCGGAGTAATTATAGCAATTAAAGCAGTAAAAACGTTCTGACGATAATTAGGACATAGAAGTATGGGAAAGCGAGTCGCCCCTAACGACGACGACGACGACGACGACGATGACGACGACGACGAGCCAGAAAAGTTATTCGACTCCGCATTCTGACTTGAACGTGGCGCACCTGGGCGATTTCTCTCTTAGACAATGCGGAATACCGCGTCTACCGCCGCGTTGCACTTTATCTTGGCCCTGACGAGGCGCTATCTTAATTACATATCGCCTTGCTGACGATGCCACGCGATATTTCTCCCGTCGAAATATATGTATATCGCATGGCTAACATCGTGATATTGTGACACATTGCCGTGTTGGATGTGCCGAAACGTGTGCGATGGTGAATCGGGAGATATCAAAAACACCGAGCTTTGTTGCCATTAATTATGAGACACGAGGGCAAGATGTACGTTATCTACGTAACAATGAAGCGGTATGTAACATCTGATTGAGTACACACACAAACGCCACGGGCGTAATAGCGCCCGAGAACAGACGCTGGCTATGAACGTGACGTCACGGACAGATTGCCGAATGCTGTGTAGTGTATTAGCGAACCGGAAACATATTTGCGGACATCCACAGGGAATACAATCTACGTTCCTCGGCATGTTTTATTCAACGGTTCGAATTAACGTATCGTAACGCGACGTATGCGATTCGCTCGGTGGCCGCTTCTGCAATTACTGAACGCGAACGCTCGTCGGCGCGTTAATTCTTCACGTATCGCGCTCGAAAGAGATCCGCATATTTATTAAAACACCGCGGCTATGCAAATATCACAGAGTTTGAGCTCCTTCTGGCAGAAATGATTTCTTAACAAGGGGCGTAAATAATTTGCTCTTTCAGCGAAACGCTCCGGAATTGGAGCGTTTCCCAGGCCTCGTTTCTCGAGGTCTCCGATAATTCTGTCCTTGAAGGGCGGAACTTCATCAAGGGCTCTGTCGGTCGCTTGGCTCCCCTTCGCTTTTTCCTTGCGAAGCGTGACCTTTTGGTTCCTTCACCCATAACCTACTTTCTCCGAAATTAAGAGGCTCGCTCGAACAAAAATCATTTACGTAACCACATATGCGGTATCGAAGCAGCGGCGCGAAGACTTTGTTCGAGGAACAACTCGATAAGTTTATTCGATTATTTCGAAGACTTTGATGACATTTGATTGCACAATAGGACGATTACTTATAAATTGTTACAAGTAATTTTCTAAAATAATCAATCAAGAGATAAATGCATGCACATTGTAAGAGAAAATTTAACTAGAAATAACAGTTTTTAGAAAATATAATGGCAAAGTTCATTAAATAATTCTAAATTGTCTGATAATAGGATTTCTCTTATTGTTAGTTAGATTTAAATAAATAAATAAATTATTTAATGCGGAAGAGATTGCGAATTAAATGGTTTTAATTTAATTCTAAAGTGTATTAAGTGTGTAATATTTTTTTAAACTTACAAATATGACTTATTGAATTTTTCGACCAGCTCTTTATATGAAATTGGCTTATCGCGTACTTATATAGTATTTTTATTACATAACCTCGAATCGCGTCATTCTCGTAGAACGAGGAATCCCTCGAAGTAGCAAGTTATTTTTACGACGCTCGCGCCGTCCCGCTTTTAACTTTCAAATGCTGTCCAGTGGATTTCACGCACGATAATCGAATTGGCAACGGATTGACAAATTTAGGGGCCGTAAAAAGGACAATGGGGAGCGGCACGATGCGTTGCAAAAGTTTGGGACGACGACGACGAAGACGACGACGATGACGGCGCAGCGTAACCAGATGTCTGCTATCGGCCATAAACGACGGCCGAGCAGACTGTAGCTTTCTCCGCGTCGCTGCTGTCGTGATTTCACCGTGATCGTACGATAAAAACGGTGATCGTATATTTCATGTCGCTGACAGAAGTACGTAACGGAGGTCTGCACTGGGTAATAAATTTCTTTTGGCGGTCTCGAGGACGTTATGCCGTGTTCATTTTTTGCACGTATATTTGTGCGTATTGATGAATATTTTAAAGTCGTCGCTTTTCTTTAATGTTTCGAGTACATTGTTGGTCATTTTAATTAATACAATTGTATCTTGATGAGATTTGTTGCGTTTGTAAATGCGCTTTCGCGTAATGCTTATCGATATTCCTTTCTAGAAGGTATATTATATTTCTAAGCAATTGCACATTGCTGGCTCTGCTGGCTTAAACGTGGATTATAACAAACAAAAAAGAAAGATGTCTGGTATACATACGCGTCTTATACTGGAATCCAATTTGTCGAAATGCAACGTTCATTGAAAATCGTTATTGCGCGATTCCATAGCGATCGAAATGCCAAATGGTCTGGCACAGAGGCGTGGATGCACTTTTACCAGCATTAGCTCTGAACCTATCGAACTATCGATTCGAACGTGTTTTATTTTCGTCGATACATTAGATAAATTGAATTCGAGAAATTCGATAATATTGGAGTTAATACGGTAAAAATATTTTACTGTCTTAGTGATGTGATTAGTACTTGTCATCCTCGAGTGAATCACATAATAAATCGATATTAAGTAGATAGGTATCATTTCCAATGACTCTATAACGATTGTTAGCGTTATCATCGAAAAATTCTTCGGCGTGTTCCCGTGTCGCGATTGTCCTAATCAGGTCAATCGACTGTAATTTTTCTGTTTACTTCTTTCGATACATATTCATTCGTGCACGCTTGTTCGATATGTGCGTATACAACTAAAAATGTAAAATACATACAACCGATAATGCTTCACGGGCCGCTGGCGGGGTGTGACTCGTGCGTAGTTTGAGTCTGGTGGAAAAGTAGGCCGGGAACTCTCTCGCATTCCGGCACTTTGAAGTTCCTCGAATCGTTGAAACGATTAATTCGATATATACAACGCTGGTGAAACGAGCTTTATCGGGAACGTCTAGTAACCGCGGGAACATGCTCGGTCGGAGTGGCCTTGGAGATTATTTTTACATCAGTTTCTGACATGCGGATCGCTCAAAGGGGCACCATCACGATGATATGCAAAGATAATAAACCACTTAACGGGATCATGGACGTTGTAAGCGAAACTTTTTTTTTCAATAAAAATCTTTTTATACGTACGTCACGCACATGAGTCTAAGACAATTTCATAAAATTTTGTTAATGTTGTTATATCGTATGTTGTGTTTTAGTAAAATCGTGAACAGCAGTATTTGTTTTTAACACAAACAGCAATATTAATTACTTATAAACGTTTATTAATTAATTTATTATAAATTAGTAATATAATGAAATATGTAAATTGTACTTATTAATTATTACTAGAATTATTGCGTGATATTTTGCGATAACAGCCGCAGTTTCAATTTCAATTTCAGTGGTCACTTAAGCGCTTTTGACGAGAATCTGCGTTTGCGGGTATTCATGCGTTTCGCATTTATATAGGGCATGCAAGCACGGCCAGCGAAAGTTTCGCAAGCCTCAACGCTAGGCACTCTTATTTAAACACGAGTGGGAGCCGGCTTATTTTAGCATTTCGCAATTTCGGACGAAGACGAATTTATTGGATCGTTGAAACACGCGATATGTTCAAGCAATGACGCAGGATGCTGAATCAATCGGACAGACGTAATTTTCGCAGAAATGTCATAGAGAAAAAGAATATATTCAGTCCAGAGAATGCCTCTGCTTCTATTTTAAACGAGCAAATCGATCGAGACGATTCCTTTTTTCTGTAAGTGTATAATAAATCTGATTTATTACGATTTATTACAATTTTAAAAATGTAAATATATTAGTTTGCGACTGCGTTTCAAGACAAACCGAATCGGCGTGCAGTTTATAGAACTGAAAAAATGTATTTGTAAATCTATATTTATATGAATATTAAGTAAGACTTGCTTTGATTGAAAATAGGTTTTTTTCTCTTATTTGATTTAAAAATAAAATCCATGTACAACGTGAGATATCACGAATAATAAATTCAAGCAATTTCGAGCTTCCCAAGTAAAACAGGATCGTCATAGCGGTTAAATTACGACTTCAACTTCATTTATCTTCTATGCACAATTCAGCGATAAGCGCGGGACACATATACGTTGTAATGTCGACCTCTCTTTGATTTTGTTGTATGCTTGTGCGCGAGTCGGTTAACAATTGCACAAGCGAGTATCGTAAAATCGCGTCTGCAATAGCGAAGACGCGTACAATGGTTGAATCGAGATTGACTTTATCGTCACATCTTCCTATGTTTTCCGACTACGAAGAACTCGAAGTCGATAGCTGATGATCCGATAATCAATGCCTCATGAAATGAGAATCTTGCGACGGAATATAAAAAATATTGATGACGGATAAGGTAGACTTGACTTTACGCTTATATTGACAGTGTATCCGCGGATCTTGTTTTTTTAGACTCGTAGACATTTATGCGTATACTTTTAACACGTACGTATATTTATTATCGAATAAAATAAAGCGAAATGGCGTTTAAGAATTTAAATGCATACTTTTAGTTATTATATATATGTGCAATTTATCATTCTGTTCAATCTGTGTTTACGCTTTTTTTTTCATTCATTGATTAATTACATTCAGGCATTATCGAGTATCATTTCCGGTGTTTGATCTTTCGCTACGTAATAACATTATGTTCTCGATAACATTAATTTATCTAAAAGATATATCGTTTTATGTACTCTTTTTAGGAATATCTTGTTTCTGAACATGTATTTTGCGAAAAGATGATAACGTCGTTCCGAACGCTTCTTGAAAATTAAGAACTAGGTTTTTTCAATTATTTTCTTGATATATGATGGTGCCGCAAACGAATGAGCGTGGGAATAAAGGCGTCATGGCGCGATCCTGTCGTAAACTCCGTTAGAAAGAAGTAAACGCGAGAAGCGAGAGGAGAGATGAATGAAGGTGGAGGGATTCTGGAGGATAAAGAAAGGAAGAATCGAGTTGTTTGCCGCCGGTCGTGCATCCCGGCGAGACTGGCTGACGCGGCCAGATGTGGAGGTACATTGCTTTATTGCTATATGTACTATAAAATATATTACGGTTTTACACAACCGTGTTATTGCGTCGTGAACATCGACGACCACCGGTCTTATTGCCCGCTACCACGGAGCACGTTCACGAAACGATCGATGACCCCCCCCTAAAACTTCACGTAATATTCATCTCTCTCTCTCTCTCTCTCTCTCTCT